TAGTATACCACTTAATGCTCCATCTAATCATTTGTTTTACTGCTCCTCTCAGTTCTTTGCAGTTTACTTTCATTTACTTCTCCCTTTTTTTCTTCTTCTATGTTTTCGCATTTTTTTTTTTGACTCTTTTCTCATATGTTTTGTTATCAGATTTTATCGTAAATAAAGTTTGCTGAAAAGTTCTTTCATTGCTAAGACAAAGTTTGGTTGTGTAAAAGGCCATTTGGTACATACGGCAGAGTAGTGGTGGGTGTTAAGTGATAAACTAAACAAAAAAAAGTTAAAAATCACTGAAAGGCCGTAGTATGCCTTTTTTTTCATTTTATTTCGTTTTCTTCTTCTTCTTTCTTCCGTTTTTTTTTTTCTGTTGTTTACAAATCTTCAGAAAAATTTCTAGAAGATTTACCATCAAAAAAAAAAAAAAAAAGGCAGAAAACTTATACACGCAAACAAAAAGGACACTTAATGATCAATTTGTTGAATAATTGCTCAACATTTTCAGTATTCCACCAGTGAATAAATTTAGAAAAACCCCAAAGAAAGAAAAACCAATACTGTTTTCCTAAACTGTTTAAGAATAATAGAAACCAACTGAAAGCTTTTTGATGGCAAATTTTTGCCATTGTGTTAACAGTGTTTCTAAGCTTTCAAGATTTCTTTAAAAGTATCAGGGAATGGGACTAATATCAGACTTCCGACTTAATGCCTTCTAATATTTTTTTCCACTTCTCTTGACTTCGGTTTTTTAACTCCTTGCATCTTTCCAAACAACAGAGGCATCGGTGTATTGGAATGCTTCTTCAGTCTGAGAGCAAAATTTCCAACTGTTCCTTAAATTTTTTTACACCTTATCTAATAGTTTGATAATTTTAGCTGCTAGAACTAGTGACAAATTTTCTTTCTAAAAAAAAAACTGATTTTTAGATGAATGTGGGAGGAAAAAAAAAAGAAACAGGAAGGATAACAATAAATCGGGAACTAAAGAATACTGAGCACTTAAAAAATGATAACAAAGTTGATGTTATATGTTTTTTTGTTTTTCCTTTACTTATATATTTCAGTATTTGTCGGTGTTTTTTTTTTGCTGTACATATGATACTTCTAAAGTTTAGTGGAGTTTAGCATCATTTATTTGTTTATTTTTGTTTTCCCATTGTTCTGCCATTTTTTTCTTCATGTAACAGCCTTAGCTGTACGTATCTGTTGTAAATAACAAAAGCAATAAATTTATGCACAACTTTCTATATGTTCTATGCTATAGTCGTTGGATTTTAGTCTAATTTTAAAAAAAAGGGGTGAGGTGGAAGCAGAAAAAAATTTTTCCCCAATATTCTTTCACCACAATTATCAAACATAATTTTAATTGTTTCTTTTCCTTCTTATCAACTTTTCGTTCGCTGCAAAACTCTTTTAACTGGTATAGGAACTGCCGGTACTATATTGCAACAAATATATTGCAAAGATCAAATTGAAATCTATCAGTAATGATAACGGTGTTCGGTTGTTCCCAATATATGAATTTAATGTTCTGTTATCAAAATAAAAGTATAAAAAATAAAAATATGGTAGTGAATTTTAGGCAGAAATCGACAATAACAGACGATTCATTGTAAGCAAAACCATAGTCTGTTCTGTTTGTTGACTTAACATGAATCTAGTGGCTTTGCTAAAATTCTTTACTTCACTTAGCCCTCCTCCTCTTTCCCGCAACCTCCTCTCCCCCGTTTCGCACTCTCCAAACAAATGCCCAGCATCACAAATTTACTGCTATTTTCGTGCTAACATTCCCATAGTCTTCACCAGCAGTTAGATTAATTACTGTTTGATGACAGCCTTATTTCAGCAACAGCTTTTCCTTTTTTTGTTAATTTTTTTGAAAGACAAAAAAGGAAATTTTTTTATATTTCTTTCGCTAAAAAATTTCTTCTTTAACTTTAAAAAAAAAAAAAAGAAAATACACACCCTTTGATTATGCACTTTTTTTTTTTCTGTTACACAAGTAGACTTTAAATATATTTTTCATATTCTTTTCCAACTTTCTATTTTTTGCTTCGCAATCTTTTTGTTTCTCTATACCGATTCACTTTTCTTCTTCCTGTTCATCTTTCTCTTCAAATTTCTAATGTCAGAGAAACAAAAAACGAAGACAAGAAAGAATAAAAGCTTATCGATGTTGTTATGATGTAAAGGATATCCGGCACTTTTTTTTACATAGACAAGAAAAAAATTTTTCTGCACATATCAGAAATCTGTGCAAAAAACTTTTTTTCTGTCTACAAAGCTATCAATTTGCAGTTTCTGTACCTTATTCAACTTTTATTGCGAAGTTAATACTACAGACAGCAGCAAAAATAATAGGCAATCAATGGTTAGGTTAGTAGGTGGAAAATGAACTTCTTAAAAATTGTTGTTGTCTTCCTTTTTAATTTTGTGAGGTATAATATATAAAACGAAAAAAATGAGTATCAGACAGTAAAAACTGTTGTAGATTTAATATTTTCAAAACATCAATTTTGAATTGCACAAGAGAATCAGGATCCAAATGTTAGTGATTTAAGAACAGGATAAGTATCGGTAACTTCTTTGTATACGGCAATATTTTAAACTCGTTTTATATAATGATGTAAATTTTTGTATATTTCTGGAAAATGGTTATTCAAACTAATCTAATAGGTGTTGCAATTTTTGACCAAGAAGGATGACTACGGAAAGTCTAGGCTTAGATAAAACCTGTACAGATCAAGAAAACAATATGGATGTTACTGCTGTTTATATCTGTTACAAGAGATCATTTAGGATTAATTTATTGGACTACTAGGACATTAAAGAAAAAATAAGAAAGATAAGAATAAGTGAATAGTAAAGGGAAAGAATCTATTTGTGTTCACTTTGTATATTCTCTGCAAAATCGAGAAATCGTTCACTTCAACAGTAGCTTTCCTACACCATCGTTCAAGTAATGCAGTCCAGTCAAATTACAGCTTGTTAAAATTTCTACTCCTAAAACTTAAGTCGTCTTCATATCGATAGTTTTCCTTCTAATTTAACACTAGTTGCGTAAGCTGAACTTTCTATGACGTGGTTTAACATTTAGAAACATTCATTATTAAACTTGCACTTGCTTTAAAGTCCCACTGTGATTTCAGTTTCTATTTTTTGTGTTGCTAAAAAAAAAAAAAAAAAAAAAA